TCCATGAATGGGTTAACACCCTCGAGATTCCCGTGTTTGCCTCCGTAATTGATCTCGATTCTTCTTCGATTTCGCCCCCTTTCCTCCTTGTATGCAGACTCAGATGAAAGGCTCCGTGATCTCATTCCGTCGCACACCGATTCGTCGCACTTCAATCCGTCGCGCTCGACTAAATCCTCTCGGCCGTTCAGGATTTTCTTGTCTTCGGATTCCACGACCCATTTCCCTTTCATTTGCATTTCCTTTGGCTAAAAATAAATTTTCGGAGAATCCCACCAAAGTCACATGCATTTCCAATCGACAGATTCCCTTCGGTACAATTAAAATAATTATAATAATTATAATTTAGAGAGGAAAGATCCGAGTCACGTGTCCAAGCGACCTTGCTTGCTCTCGGTGCTTCCATCTGGCGGGAGAAAACAACCCTGTCTCGCAATCCTGCACTGCAACTGCCTCCTGTTGCTCTTGTTGCTCCTGTTGCTCCTGCTGCTCCTGTTGCTCGTTCGGCATCGATCGCCGAGGGGACACTCCATCGTCTTCGCCGAGCGAATGTGCCCTGCTGAGAAATCCCCTGCTGAGACGTTTCATTTCGAGAGGTGCCCTGCTGAGAAATTGGAACCTGCACGGTTGCACCGGAATCACGAAGTGCCAAATATTTTAATTTGAAAACATAAGGTTGTCAAATTTTGGAGAGAAAAAAATTAGAAAGAATCATGAGAACAGAAGCAATAGGCAAAAAAATGCAGATAATTTGCCGAAAGTTTGCAAATCGGGGAAAATCGCATGAGAACTAGACAGGGAAAAAACAATCTCGCCATTTTTTTAAATATTGTCAGGAAAATTAATTAGGGCATTTGAATAAAATCGGGGAAAAGGGCAAAACGTCACCATGCCGACGCAACCGAAAGGCAAGGACAATGAAGGACATTGGAGGACAGCACCAAGCCGATGTCAAAAATGCCGATCATTGACATCAATTTCATCAATTACGCCGATTTGTTGTCTCGGTGCTCTCAGGATTGAAGAGTTATTTATTGCTAATTTCATCGAGCATTATTTATTTATTATTTATCTCAAGGCTGTTTTTTGGAGAGCATTTATCCGGATCCGGACCCGCCTTCTAGAAGGCGGTTCTGGCCTCGAGGAAGCTGTCCCACGCGATTCTTACTCGGATTTCGTGCCGATTACCTGCAAATCTCCGACGAAAAGCGGGAAGTGCAAAAAAAACCGCCTTTTTGCAAATTCCTCACATTTTTTGCTCCAGTCTCGGAAAATTTCGCGACCGAACCTGAATGGATCCATATTTCGCATTTTCTAAAGGCCTATTTAAAGGTCAAGGCCATATGAGAAAGGACAGATCGATCTATGGACTGATAGATTAGCGGATTGATTGATTAACGGATTGATGGATTGAGAGGTTGCCCTTTGGAACCGGCACGGCATCAATCGATTTCGGAATAGCGCCTCACCAGCCTCCCATTGTCCTGGCGGTTCATCGTGGAAGCATTTGACAATATTTTTTGAGGGGGGAATCGAGCGGGGGGAAAGCACGAGAAGAGTTTGCGAAAACGGTGAAAATTTGGCACGGAGATTGCAAAAATCCGCCGGTTCAAATTCCCCGTCCGCTTCGGCTCGTTTGCGAATTGAGCGATTTCTTCGGGGGGAAATTTCCAATCTCGCGCAACGAGGCGGGATTCCGCGAAAGCGTCGCGTGTGGGCGGGGGGAGGGAGGGAGGGGGCAAGGGGCAAGAGGAGGGGGCAAGGGGGCGCAGCGCAAGTCTCCCCCGTATAAAAGGAGTCGGAGCCGTTCGCCCTCTCCGTTCCCACGGCCGAACGCCTTCAGATCTTCTCGTGTGCCGCCTTGTGTTCTCCTCTTCTTCGTCGACAGGTGGGTCGCAGGCCTTCTTTTCGTCGCAGGCCTTCTTTTGATTGAATTCATTCCGCCTGAATGCACGGATAAGGGATAAGGGAGGAAGGAATATTTTGGGGCCGTTCTGCGTTTATCCAAAATAGGTTGCAAATTTTAAATTTCGGCGGAGAATTGAAATGTGAATTGGAATGGGAATTGGAATGGGAATTGAAGCGAAATCTGGTATCATAGTGACTTCCGTCAATGGGGCTCTTTCGCGTGCTTGAATGTTTGAAGTTGAAATGTTTGAAACCCTTGAATGTTTGAAGGGAATTTGGGAATCTGCTCGACAGCGGGAAAGGGGTTTTGCCTTTTTATCAATCAATAATTACGTACTGCTTACAATTAATTCAATTAATTTGCAATGAAATTGCCAGCGCGAAATCGCTCGTCGGATTTCCCCCAATTTGTTTTAATTTCTCGACTCGTAAGTTGCATAAACTGTAAACCGCGCAGGTATTTATAATAAATGCGAACAAATATTCAGAGCGATGGCGTCCCATCGGAAAGAGAGAATCTTCCCGGAATTCATAAAAATCCGAGCAAGGAAAACGAAAGGGAAAAAAAAAAAAAACGGGATCCGAGTCGGATCTGCTCAAATACGAGCAGTTTTGAAAAGGTCGGGGGGGCAAGGGGGGAGGGGGGACAAGGGGGGGAGGGGGGCAATTCCGCACACTCGTTCTGAACCGATATGAGCACTTGAGAATTCTCGAGGGAGAAAGCCGGATGCTGAAAGCGGGATGCAATATTGCCATTTCCTATCTCAATATACGGTTCCGATGCGTTCCGTGCATCTCTTTTTCGATATCCGGAGGCAATTATTTCTGGCAATTACAACGGAACGCCGAGAACGTCTCCCTCGAAGGCCTCGGAGGCCTAATTGGATTGCTCGGGCTCCTCTCCGAATATTTGGAGAAGATTTTGCTCGAGCTGTGTCCGAAGTGGTGGGCAAACAGTTGAGGCGCGCGTTTTCCTCCAGGTGGTTTTTTTTTTCCTCCTCGGGTTTCGTTTTTTTTCGGGGGGGAGTCAAAGGGGCCGAATGGGGAATGGACCTGGGGGGGTTGAGGGGCCAAGGGAAGGACGGACCAAAGGGGGAAATGTGGGATGCCTTAGCCTCGACCAAATATCATGGTCTTCTCGTTTAGGTTAATCCTGCCAAACCATTCGGCACAAATCGACATTAAAGTGAAAATCGATAATTTTGCATGCCACCCCTCTTCCCTCACGAGGATAAAATGGAGGTTTCAACAATTCCAATTTTTTTTTTTTTTAGTCTTGCACGAAACTCGCTGAGATTTGCTGGATTTCGTTCCGGTCTGGGTGAATTAAAAGTATCTTGTGGGATATTTTTCGCGGCCCATCTCGAAACTCCTCGCGGCCCCCGCGGCCCACGGCTCTTTTCACGCGGTCGATAAAACTAATGGCAGCACGAGAAATTAAGCTAATTATCTCAAATCAACGAGGGCTGTCCGGCCCTCGAATCCTCCTCATTTTATGCTTTAATAAATTCAGAGCGATTTCCGCTCTGGAGCGCTTCCCATCATTCCCGAAAATCATTCCCGAACATTCTGCGCCTTTTACAGCGATGCAGAGTCACTCTAATTTTCGCCAATCGTGATAATTCTTCTCGCGAGTCATTCGGTATCTCCAGCGCATGGGACAATTAAAACTTGTTAACCGTTCCGAGGAATTCCAACGATTTTCAAAGTTCCACCCTCCAATGATAGTTCGGCGCCTTCCGTTTCCCGGAAATGATCCGGAAATGAACGCGTTCCGAAAGTTCCACTAGACTTTTAAAATGCTAATTTTTTTTCCTATTAAAATTTTTCTTGGTTTCGCGGTCTTCGTCGACCATCATGATCATCACGATCGATATCCCGTCCACACGGGACCAGACGCATCTCCTTTTATTTTTCATCCCAATTATATGCGCTTGCAATTTTTCCGTCCCCAAGCGGTGAATGCACTACGCGTCAGCTCGCTCCGCGATCCGAAGAAGGAAGCACGTCCCTTAAATCCTCTCCACGTAAAGCGCGGTGACAAGGAAAAGCCTATCGTGCATTAACCTCCTCCTCTCCCTCCTTCTCCTCCTCCTTCTCCTCCTCCTTCTCCTCCTCCTCTCCCTCCTTCTCCTCCTCCTTCTCCCTTGTCCATCCTGCATGGAGGTGAGGCCCGCTCCTCCCCGGGAACAGAAGGGGCTCCATCCAGGCTGCGACTTTCTCTTGTGTCCTGCATGTCCCATTTCCTCCTGGACTGGACGTGTCGACCTCGATCCCCATCTCGGCGGGATATTCATCCTATCGACCGCGATAGGCCGGAGGAGATGGGACTAATTAATCCAATCGAGCATGATTCGACCTGCAATCCTATTTCCCTCGAGTCCCTTGTGTTTTTCTCACTCCAATCTAGGGGCTTTTATTGGCTTTTTTCTTTTTTTTTGTTATTGGTCTTTTTTTCCATTGGCCAGTTTCTGTTGGTCTTTCTCCGTCGGAACGAGGAAGCACCGACGAGGAAATTCCGACTGTAAACGTAAATTGGCCGGTCTCCACGAAAATTTGTCCAAAAGGATAAAATCCTCCAGGGATCGGCCGCCTTTTCCCTTTTTTTGCTACGAAAAGCAATAAGGGAATTATTCATTTTTTTTCCGTCACCCGAAACCACGAGAAGCCAAAAAACTTTCCAATCCGGCGGAATCACAAGGGACGCGAAGGAAAAGAAAGAAGGCCTCTTGAAGGCCTCTCGAAGGCCTCTCGAAAGCCACTAGAAGGCCTCCCGAAGGCCTCTCGAAAGCCACTAGAAGGCCTGCCAAATTTACAACGGCGAGAAAATTTCATCCTTTTTTTTTGCGTCGCCCCTAACGAAGAGCGAAGGGTGAAGGATGGGCCAATTTCCAACTCCGATATTGGGACCCCCCACTTTTAATTGCACTGTTTCTCTCGTTCCGGTGTCACTCGATCCCCATTTCTCTTCTCTTGATTGGCGCGAGCCGGATTCTCTCGAAAGGCCAGCGGTTTCACCGGTTTCACTCCCCCGAATTTCCGCAGAAGCAGTGGGAAGCCCCAACCGCCAACAACCCCCAACAACCGCCAACAACCCCCAACAACCGCCAACAACCGCCACCGACCGCCAACAATTGCCAGGAGAGATGCATCATGTGCTTGAGGTGGCATCGTGCGCCCTCCTCCTCGCCCTCGGCACCTTCACCGGGGTGCTAGCGGAGGGTGCGGCAACCGGGGAGCCCGGTGAGGAGCCCGGCAGGGAGCCCGTCGGCCTGGAAGGGACCCGGTCCCTCCAGGATTCACCCGACAAACGGGACTGGTCTCAGCTGCATTCTTCATGGGGAAAGAAGTCCGATCTCCCCCGTGTAAGCCCGTTATTTAAATTCTTACTATCATTCGCTGTCATTTACTATCAAATATAATTATTTATTGTCTCCATCATTATTTATTATTATTTATTATCATTCATCATAATGACGAATTCCTGCATTTCTCTTACGCGGCAAATCCCCCGACGACGCCCTCATCCCCCCGATAATCAAAGAAAAAAGCGATCTAAGAAGCTAGATCCGAGGGGATCTAGCTTCGGGATATCTTCCCGATAGCTTCTATCGGGGAAGGAGGCCGCAGGTGGCCCTCGAAAGCCCGTCCGCCCACGGGCCGACACCCGAGACGATGGCCTCGGCGGCAGCTGAGCCCACGGTCGCCGTCGCGATTTTGTGGCAGCTGTCAATACTTTTCCTCTCCCGCGGGTCGCGAATATTCGCGAAATCGTTCGACTACGACGCCGAGGGCTTTCACATGTAAGTTTATTATTTATTATTATTATTTTATTAATATTATATAAGTTACACGATTTTTTTTGCACCGAGGAGAAATCTTTTCTTTCGTAAAATTTTCAAAAAATTTTTTTTTCTTCAGATTATTGAATTTTTTTAAACGAAAAGTTGAAAACTTTTCTGAAGAGGAACAAAAGGCTCTCGTCGAGCCTCGTTGAGCCTCGTTGAGCCGCGTTGAGCCGCGTTGAGTCAACCGGTTGATGTCGTTGAACCATCGGAATTGGGTCCAAATGCTCGTTATAAGTGTTGATTATCATAATTAATAAGCGTAATAAGAAATAAGAGGCCATTAGAGTTGTAATTAAATTTTTCATCGGAATTGTCATGACAATTATCATGGCAATTGTCATTGCGATTGCCATAGGAGAGGGAAGTGATTGGCGATGAATTTATACTTTTTGCGCAGTCGTGATTTTGCTGAAATCGGAAAACGCAGTCGCAAATTTTTGGTCCTACGTTGAAACTCGCCCGGGGGCGGACGGAGAAAGCGGTGCAGAAAATTTGCCATTTTTTTTTGGTGAGGAGTGGGGATATTGCAAAAAACCCTTCGAGGTTCGTTTTGGCAAGGGGGGGGGGGGGGGGGGGGGGTTTCGAGCTCGGAATGGAATATCGATCGCCTCGTATTAATAATATGCGGGCTCGTGAGAGCTTTTATGAGGCCTTCAAAGGCCGCCTCGGTACGTCACTCATTCCGACATCGTTTTCGCTCGGCTGTCACTCCTGAGATCCGATCCACGATCGAAGGCCAATATTTTTCGTAAGGAAAAAAATTGACCGTCCCCTCTCCTCCCCCCTCCAACCCCCCCCCCTCCCACCACCTTCTCCCCGTCTTCCCCTCTCCCGTCTTCTATTTATATCGATATCCAACACCCTGTGCTCTGTCTACAATTTCTCCGCAACCTCGGGGGAAAAAAAAAGGAAAGAAAAGAGAAAAGACCACCCACGAGATGTGGACTCCCTTCTCCCATTTCGTCATCGCAATGGACTACTTCGCATCAGATAACGATTCCCTTCGTAGTTCCCCTCCACCCCATCCACCCCTCCACCTCCTCCATCCCTCCACCTCCTCCACTTCTCCACATTCTCCACCCCTCCACATTCTCCACTCCTCCGCCTTCTCCACCCCTCCATCTCAACTTCCTTCACTCCTCCACCATCTCCACCTTACCCATCCCCTCCACCTCCATCAACTGCGCCACTCAGGCCTCATCCCAAGAAAAAAATGGCCTGGATCATGAAATTTCTCCATCTTTACGATCTGTTGATCTTTGACCAGCCCGCCTTCGTGACTCCATCTCGTTCTCTCTTGTCCATCTCGCTGAATCGTCTCCCTCCCAATTTTCCTAATGCAATTTCCATCGACGAGCAGTCGCGGATGTCGGTGGCTTCGCATTTCTCATCGTTTCTTATGGTTCGACGACCCGGCTGAGACGGATCCCAGGCGGATCTGTCTCGGCCGGGTCTGAAAAAAAAATTACAATTTTTTTTTAATGAGAAAACTGGATCGGTTTCAGGTTCTCCAATTTCGTTTCGCTCTGGCCTTGAATCGCGTCCCGTGACGAACGGCATTCGAGAATGGCAATTGAGAGTGGCATTCAAGAATGGCAATTGAGAGTGGCAATTGAGAGTGGCAATAAATGCGGAGTTGGCATGCTCTATCTTTCTTCGCCGACAGATTCATCTGCTGCGGTTCCCACGCGTTCCATCACGTTTTCATTCCGCGGAGAAAATAATTGCGTGCGATGTCATTGCCAAGTCTTTGACGGCTCCATTGTGAAGGATTAATTGCCAGCGAGAAAAGATGATTACCTCTGACGGGGATTGATGCCGGAGGTGCGAGATTTTTTTCCGCAGAGATATATTTTTTTTTAGACTCTGGGTGAATTTGGCGAATATTCTTCGCCGGGCTTGCGGAATTCCGCCGTTCGCCGATGGGAGGGTGAAAAGTTCGAAATTTGATTAAATTTTAAGTTTAAATTCAATGCAAGTTCCAGGATGGTCCCCGGTCCTTTCTCCGGGTCCGACTCGGGGGAGGTTCGTGCATTCTTCCACCTGCAAAAATGCAGGTGGAAGAATGTACGATCGACCAAGAGTCTACCTCTTTCGTTATTTTGATAATTCTGGTGAATTTTGAACTGGGAGATAAATTTCGAGTTTAAATTTAGCGCCGATCGCGGCTAACACGTGACCCAGTTCCCACGTGGCTCCTCCAGAGCGGCTGAAGAATATGTGGGGCGAGGGGGGTCAAGGGGGGGGAGGGGCGGGGTGAGGGCAGGGTGGAGTGTTGATTCGGTCCGGTCGCGGAAAATGGGGGCAAGTGATCCGCCGATCTCGAGGGGGTGGGCAATTATCGCTGTCTTTGTTTTCGTGTCGGTGGCAGAGGTGTGTTTTTTTTGGTGTTTTAATTGGGCCGCTGATGCAGCGAGGAAGGCGTCTGACGTCGTGAGGAAGATCTAAACTTTGTGTTCCTGAAGGGAACAAGGTGTCTGCTCTCTCCATTTCATTCAAAGTACGGGCAATACAAGCTCAACTGTATCGCAGTCACACTTTAGGCTACAAGGGGAGAAGGTGGGAAGGGGAAGGTGGGAAGGGGAAAGTGGGAAGGGGAAGGTGGGAAGGGGAAGGTGGGAAGGGGAAGGTGGGAAGGGTTGAGTCGGAGGTTTACTTACGGAATGCTCTCCTCTGTGAACAAGGCAAACTGGCTGCAAATTGTTTTAATTATTATCTTCAAATGAAAAACTTCCGCCATTCTGATTCTGTGTAGAAAATAAAATCTGAGCGCTCGTTCGATTGGCTGCCTGCGAGGTTCGTGGAGACGTCAAATAATGCCAATGAAAGGGTGTGCAATCAGGCTTTCCAGGAGCAACTGAAGGACTGCTGTGCGATTAGTGTCACAGTTGATGCATTTCCTTTCCAACTAGATTAATGGATCACCCATTATTAATCTCTCGACTCGCATTTTAAGATGCTGTCGCGACCGCCAAGCCCCACCTCCGTGCTCCACCTCTATGCCCCACCTCCGTGCTCCACCTCTATGCCCCACCTCCGTGCTCCACCTCTATGCCCCACCTCCGTGCTCCACCTCTATGCCCCACCTCCGTGCCCCACTTCCATCAGCCCGGAGAAAGGCGATTCCAACCTCCTCCGATTCCCTGGAGCGAGTGGAGGTCACTCCTCGAGAATGACATCCTCTCGCCCCTAGAAGTCGCTTTTTGCGAGTGACCTCCACTTGTTCCTGGGATTCGCTTTCGAGAGTGACCTCCTCCGGGATGCCAACGCTGAGTAGACGGGAACGTGGGCAGCTCGCTCCTCCAATGTTGGCGGTTCAGCGACCTCGGTCCTTTCTCCTTTCTGCTCTTATTGTGTTACTGGGGGGCTTCATTCAGATAACGCAACGATGAATGTAATTTTTTTCAGGAGGAAGTGAATTGTTCATCGAAGCTACGGAGGGAGGGAGGAAAAGTGAACTTTTTTAACTAGAGAGACGAGACACCTACCTTCCGAACTCGATCTATGTTTTGTCGCATCCTCCCTTCCCATCCACGTAATCTCCCCACCGACGAATTCGGCTATCGAAAGCCTCCCCAAGCCATTCTCGAGGTTGCCGCGAAGGCCCTCGGCGGACAGCCGTGCTGGGTCACCTTCAACCGATGCGCGTCCACTCTTAAACCGTTTCAACGCTGCACTCCTCCTTAAACGCTGATCCTAACAGACAGTCGGAAGATGGGCGGGGCCTTCTCCCTCTTAAAGCTATTAGCTACCGACCTGAGCCATGCCATTCAGGGTTGCCACCCTCTGTGAATGGGAACATCGGGATTTCAAGTGCAAAATATATAGAGTAAGAGAAGTTATGTGGTGCCGAAATTGTTTGAAACTGGGTAGTTTCAAACAATTTCGGCACCACATAACTTCTCTTCAGGGCAACAACTCTTCAGGCAAGGGCAACAGAAAATGTCCAACCTTTGGACCTTTTCTCAAGTCATCACATCAACCTCCACCCACGAAACAGCCCCAAATCAAAAGTTGGCACCATATTAAACTTCAATAGCCGTGTATACCATAAGCTGCTGAATGCAAAGCGAATCTTTGACGATAACAGACGGCTGGTGTTATAGTAATGGACCTAATATTAAAGAAAGATATCGGCTGAATAGGCAGTTACCTGGCTGGGCAGAAAATGTCCAACCTTTGGACCAAAGGTTGGACATTTTCTGTTGCCCTTGGGTAGTTTCAAACAATTTCGGCACCACATAACTTCTCTTACTCTATCTGTGCACCTTGGTTGGGGGCAGTTTACTTAGCCGGGTGGAGAAGCGGGAGAGCGACGCGTGGGACTCTCTCGCCGGGGCGTGGAGCAAGAAGAACTGGAACTCGCTCGGGCCTGGTATGTCGTCTTGGGGTCGTCTTGGGGTCGTCTTGGGGTCGTCTTGGGGTCGTCTTGGGGTCGTCTTCATTAAAATGTGGAAGGCGTGGGAGGATGTGGGCTCTCGACCTTTCGCATTTTAGGCATTCCTAAAATCGAAATTCGATATTTGAGATGCTCGAGTTTCCAGACGCCCTTGCTGCCATCTGGTAGCCGCATGCGGAGGTACGAAAAGGTCGAAGACTCGCATTAAAAAAAAAACCGTGACGTCGGTTTTTTGTTCAGGAAAGGTTTTCCCTGGAATTCCTTACCCCTTGTGAGTCTCCAGGGCAGCATTTAATTGGGTTGAGGATGATGTTTCACGAGGATGGTGTTTCATGAATGATGCATCCGGCAAATGTCCAGATGAGATGCGAGAGTCAATATCACTGGAGTTTCTTCTTTCTTTGTATGTGGTTTGACCTTTGTGGGGAAGGTCGCGTCGCATCATTATGGGTCGGGAATCTTTAAGGAATTCCATTTCCTTTATATTTTTATGTCTACGCTATAATAATAATAATATATTTTAATGATAATGACAATATTATCGCACTCGAATCCGGCAGGAAAGTCCTTCTGACTTCTGACGGCTGCTCCAACTTCGCTTTTAATTACGAATCTCGAGGTTTTGGATTCCCAAGATTCCGGAAATCTTCGTTTAGCCTCTTTTATGGCCTCAGTTTACCATGACGAAACATCAGGAAGGAGCCACTCACTAATGGAGCATTCTTAAAATATAAAATAAAAAAGCTGGCTAAGCTGAATCTTTTTTTATTATCTCACCATCGAGACTCCTGCAAGAATCCACATGATTACGGTAGCCCGAGATTTCGAGCAACGAACGGGAAATTTGGATCATAACCACCCCAGAAGCTCGGGGGAATGCTCAGGTTTTTTTTTTTTGGAATGCTAAAAAAAAGAAAGCGAAGTGAAAGGCGAGATAAACTTCCGGTTACGTCTCCGGGATTCATCTTCGCCGAAGGGAGGTCGAAAATAAAGAGAGGCTCCGACCTCTGACACATCAAAAGTGACATACGAGATCCCACAGTAATGATGCCTTCATCAGAGATCTTGATTAGGTTGTAATGGCTTCCCCACGCGAGTTATCCCCCGTGTCACGTCCCCAACGGCACCCCTCGCCATCCCCCGCCTTCATTTCCCCGCGCGATCGGCACCCTCGGAAGGGAACTGGAACTTCTGGCTTCCATCCAGCGTGGGGCAAGCGGTCCGACTGGAGGAAACTGGATGGCATGTGGGGCAAGCGATCCGACTGGAGGAAACTGGGAGGCATGTGGGGGAAGCGAGCCGGAGGTCAGCAATGGAGGGATAGATCCACCAAGTACTGGGACTCCTATGGCAACGAAGATGGGAGCGACGGTAAGCTAACCTTTTCTTCTTCTCCCCTTTTTCTCCTTTCCCCCTTCTCTCCTCCCTTTTCTTCTACTCTCCTTCTCCCTTTTCTTCTACTCTCCTTCTCTTCTTCTCCCCTTTCCTTATTCTCCCCTTCTCCTCTTCTCCCGTTTCCTTCTTTCCTCTCTCCCCTTTTCTTCTAACAGACCCTTGCTCTGGGAACTTCTCTTTCTCAGTTAGGCCAACTTTGCATACCGAGATGGAATCATTCATGAGTCCCAGAGGATAAGTTGGCGCTCCGTGATCCAGCTGCCTCGCCCTCGGATTACGTGCACTCGCGCGGAGAAAGCCTCCATATGCTCCGAAATGCAAATTTTCAGAAGCCTAACCAAGCAGGAAACTTTGGCTGGGATCGAGGCCACCCCTTCTTGATCTCCCGCGAGGCGGAATTAATTGTCCGCTTTGAAGACTGTAAAAGTTGGTTTTTGGAACAAATGGGTGGATAGACAGACGGAACTGGATCATTAGCGGCATCCTTCCTTTTCTAGGAAAAAGCTTGATGGGGGGGAGGGCGGAGCAATGTAGCGGAGACGAGAGGTTCGATTTCTAGAACACATTTTAAAAATATACTGTAAATATAATTTTTTTAAATTAACTTGCTTTGCAAACCGAGGGAATACCTTGGTCACGCTGATATTTAAATTAATTAATGAAATATTAAAGTTATTACTCGTGATGCACGACTCTCGACTGGAGTGAGACAGAGACGGCAAGAAAGGTCTTCCTGAGTTTCATCCGAATGGGTTTCCGGGCCCGAAAAGGGCTCTACAGCGTAGGCTGCAGTTGAGTGTTTTGAATGTCCTCAATTCTCGATTTGAATTTCCGCTCCTCGGCGATGGCCCTGTGTCTTCACAGCAGATGGAAGAACTTGGGGGAGGGGGATTGAGGATATTTGAAATGCGAAACGTTATTGGCAATAACATTTGGGCGAAATTCAATCGAAGACGATTGAATTAGCGACCATGAGAATTTCAGTGGGTGGGGTTGCTCACTCCGGGAATAATTCTCGTGGATCTTCGTTCGAATGCGAATGGGAACGTTCGGTTCGTAACGGAAGGCAACAAGAAAGTGGTAGAGTTCCTTGTTTGCCTGGATATTGCAGCGATGGAAGCCTCAGAAAGGCGTAACGCCGTCTGGAGTCGCTTATTTTTAGACGGAAGCAAAGAAGGGATGAAGCGATGGGGGGATTGTCGTCTCATTACACTTGCACCGGCCGAAATCCTCCAGCCCGAATCCTCTGAAATCGGCTTTTGGATCAGGCTGGTCCGGATATAGCTTCGCTAGAGAACCATGAAGCCGGACGATCTGGGAGCACAGACACCAACAAGTAGCAGCTTTGGTTCTTCCCTCCCCTCCTTTTTGTTCCTCCTCCCTCCTTTTTGTTCCTCCTCCTCCTTCCTCTCTTTCCCTCCTTCTTTTTCTAGGTTGTCTTCGCCACCGGGAAATGCACGCTTTGTAGTGCGTCGTGGCAGGTCGTGCACTTCAGGAAAACGAGGACAATTTCGACTTCTTTTCACCAAAATTCCCTCAATCGAGGTTCGAGCACGGAGCGAACACGGAGCAACCATCAGCAGCCCACACTCACCGTTTCGCGGGTCCGGTCTCGTTTTCCCTCGATCGGGGACACCTGGCGTAATTCCCTGTCGTCGGGAACAGCCCATCGACCTATAATGGTCTGAGTCCTCCGGTCCGAGCTATTATGGGAACGGGCCCGCTTGAAGTGTTTCCATTAGACACATTCATAAAAGCTGTATGAGTAAGACCCTCACAAAGAGGGGGGTTTTCAGGTTCATTCGGTATGGCGGTCCATCAAGAACGAAAAGCTTACCGTGACCAATGGTATCCGCTTCTTTCTCCATTTAATGGCGCTTTGGAGCAGGAAAGCATCCGTCCGCTTTTTCTTCCGATTTTTTTTTGAGGCGCTCTCGAAGAGCATTTAGGATCGTCTCGTCGCGCTTAATGAAGTTGGGCCGGCGAAAACGATTGCTTTTCACATCGCCGTAATCACATCTGAGGGAGTGACGCATCGATTCCGTCAAATTCGGAAAATTCAATCAAGTCGCCTACGCCTTCGCGGGAGTGTAATGTGCAAACAGGAAGGGTCATCGAGAGGAGTAACTCGACCGGCGCGTATCGCGGGAAGGAGGCCGGCACGTATCACAGGGCTTTCTCGCCCACGAAACTTTTCTATGGAAATGAAAGACCCCCCGCCCCCCTATATCGCTGGGGCGGACAGGGATCTCGTAGCTGTCAATTAGGTCGGACTTGAATCGTGCTTTATGAACACGGCTCCGACAGGATACCGGAGGAGGACGATATTGTTCTCGTGCGGATGCTGCAGTGGAGTTTCCGCAAGTATCTGATAACAAGTGCGGGAACAGCTGTGCACGACACCATTGTGAAACCCATCCATTCCGCCCACAGTTTCCCAAAGGGAAAAGAAAAAATCATCTCAGAACCGTCGCAGCTCCCCGTTTGAAACCTCCGAAGGGCATAGAAACGACGCGATGCATGCAAACGAGAGGATCACATGGCCTTTCCCCCTTCCCCGATCGTGATGGATTTCGCCGCGGTTTTCATCTGCATGGCTAATTACGGACTTTGGTATGCACGTCGGCGGGATTCCGATGGAAATGCGGGCGTCGCATGCGAGATGCCCCGGCGTCGCATCTGCATCGCAAATGCGTCGCTCGTTCCGCCGATTGCTTTCACGTGTTCCTCCGTCGGGGTCGTTGGGGCTTGCTTGGAAATATTTTGAATAATTTCGGGAAATTTGGAAAATAGATTAATCATGGAAAACGCTGCTCGTGCATTTCTAAGGCTCAATTAACTAATTGCGTTGTGCGCGGGAGTCAGGCCGATTTCCAAATGACAGGAAAATGGAAATTTTAATGCTTTTTAAGCACAGGCTCTGTGGGAGGTTTCCCATAATGAATGCGGCCGTTCACAGTCCCAAGGCCATATTTTGTTATGCCGACAAGCAACGCGATTAAGTCGAAGCAATGAAGCTTCTGGACTTGTCATCGAAGAATCCCGATTCACGATCTGAGTTGCGTCAAAATGAAAACAGCTCAAAATGAGTGCAGTTGTGAGCGACAAATGAAACATTAATCCATCTCCTCTGTGATTCCAGATTATTGGGCATCGAAGCGGACGAGATGGCACAACTTAAGTGCAATGTGGGGCAAGCGAGGTCTCGCCTCCCCTAAGAATCCCCTCGCCTCTGGTAAGATTTTTATTCACTTTCTGCGTGCATGCCACTGATCGCCTTAGCCACGCTGGGAGAAGGAAGCGCGGGAAGAAGGTCGCGCGCTGGAGAAGGAAGCGCGGGAAGGAGACCGCGCGCGGGAGAAGGAAGCGCGGGAAGGAGACCGCGCGCGGGAGAAGGAAGCGCGGGAAGGAGACCGCGCGCGGGAGGAGGGAACGAAAGGGCGCGCGAAGCGCGACGCTGTGCGAAAGGACGACATTCCCCAGATCCAGTCGAACTGGATGTAGTCGCTCTTCCTCGTGGATCCTTATGGGGAAACACTAACTCTGAAATGGGTTTTCATTGGAACTCTCATTACAAATTTGCATAATTTCCAGATAAATCCATAACTCCGTCGCTTTCAACCCGTGATCGGCCTTTTCTCTTCCCTTTAGTTGCTCGAAATTTCGCGGTGTGATCTCATCCAATTTCATTTCGCTGGAAATCTCTTCGCACCCTTTGATGTAGTGTTAATTGCATGACGTCTCTTGCAGAAGTTGCTTCATGACTCTCGGTTTTTGCATAGTTTTTTTTTTTTTACACATAGAAATATGTTTGTCTCCGAAATTCTCCAACAATTTTGACATGCCTCTTCCAGAAATTCAGGAAATATTGAAGCCGCGATCGAAATAATTCCTGAAACTCTATCAATAAAAAAGAAATTTCTGAAAATCTCGTTGAGAGTGAAGTCATCATAGGATCAGTGTAAATCTGCAGCTTGCCTCGCTGGAGTGAACTGACTTGGCGTGCAGGTAAAGATTGTGGGGTATTGTGGGGAATTTGTGGGAAATTCTTTGGATGATGGGATCGCGGTCTCGTAAACTCGGCATGCATGCGGCCGGATTTACGACAGGCGTGGGACGAGGGAGAGGGAACAGACGAAAACAGAACAGGAACGGAAGTTACAGGCGCTCCCACACTCCCTTGACGTGTTTTTCGCATGAATTCAGATTCTTCCAGTCATTATGCATGCGATGGCGAGTTGAATCCACTGACCCCATTCCTTTGAATAATCCTGGATTCGCCGCTGGTTCATGGAGCAGCCTCCTTTAATTCCGCGTGAAGAAGTACACAAGGTGTAAGGGAGGGAGGTTAAAGGGGAGTTTAAAGGGGAGGGAGGAGGGCATCGGACGCGTGGCGAACGAGCCGTGAAATAAAAGCGACGAAATGGGGTGGAATGTAATTCCTCTGTTCTTCTTCTCCTGCGCACCCTTTCAATTGTAAATTAATCCATTCATTTGTAAATTAATCCCTCATCGCTCTGCCTTTTTGCTCGGGCGCGTCTGATCTTCCAGGAAAATCTCTGTGTTCGACAGGAGTCCAATTAGCGCCTTTCGTCTGAAAGCCGCGTTCCTGAATATTAGGCGCGTGTAATGATATTTCGAGGCGGGGATCTTCGCCGGATTAAGCAGGCTCATGAGGGAAAGAAATCCTGCTAATTATCAACAGACTTTGAGGGTTCATGTGGAATGACGTTTTGAGGCTCACAGTTCATCCGAACTTCGAAAATAACATGGAGACAAAGATTGCCCGGCTGCCAAGGGGATTGCCCTGCTGCGAGGGGATTGCCCGGCTGCCGAGGGGATTGCCCCGCTGCGGAGGGGATTGTCGTCCGATTTGCAATCGGGCGTGCAGCACGTCTGCGAAGCGACTTCCTAAGACAGGGGTGCACGACTCAAATGGCTGCGAGGACCATTTTCGGCTTTTACTCACCAACCGCCGGCGCAGTCTGGCTGACCGTAGCTGTGGCCAACAGGGCAGGAACCATAGCAGCACTTACAACGCCACCGGTCCCGGCGGGCCACGGGCAAAGACCTCGCGGGCCGCTTGTTGTGCGCCCCTGTCCTAAGAGGGATGTCACCCGGGATGGCAGGGGGCACGGTCCGGGAGAAGGGAGGCTTTCGGCCTCGGGTCATCGGAGATGCTTGCGGACAGTCTGCGGGAATTTCCCCTTCTGGAAAGCACCGAATGAGGGCCATGACCGGAAATTCCCATGGGATTCTTGGGCATCGAAAACCCCATATGGCATTCCCATAGTAATTCCATGAGAATCCCATAGTAATTCCATGGAAATCCTATTGTATTCTTATGGGAGTCCCATGGGAATCCTATTGGATTCGTGTGGGAATCCCAAGGGAATTTCCCGTCCGCCAGAGTGGTTGACCGCCGTCGTGGGTCTTTTGTCTGTCCGGGATCGAGTGTCGTCTAGATCGCAATTCCATGTTCCTCTCTCCTGCTGCGTCGCAAATAACTAGAAGAAGAAAAAAAAAAGAAAAGGGGGCAGCGGGCGGAACGATTCTCAATCCTTGAGATTCCGGCAATATTCCTCTCTCGTCTCGAGAATCGAGAGGGATTTCCGGCGCTCTACGTTCGCCGTGATTGCGACCCGCGCAACGAACGGGAAAACGACGGGCTATTTTCTCTCTCTGGCTATTTTTTTTTCCTTCGGAATGGGACGCTATCGAGCATCCGAAGGCGGCACGGGAATAGAATGCTCATTCCAAATGGAATGCTCATTCCATTTGGAACGCTCAGTTGATTACCCGAAGCAAATGCTCTCTCTCCCCGTTTCCTTTTCCATCAAATTACGATGCTTCACGATGAAACGCATTACAATGCGATGCAATACATTACAATACGATGCAATGCATTACAATACGATGTAACACGTTACATACAATGTAACACGTTACAATACGATGCAACACATTACAATACGATGTAACTCATTACAATACGATGCAACACATTACATCGGACCAGAACGGGTCAAGTCCGTCTTGTAAGCCCCCTAATGGATCTTGTCTTCTCCAGCGCCCGCCATAAAGGGAAAGCTCGCGGGATCGACCGAGATTTAATGACGACAGGAATGACGACACGCGCGTCCTAGCACCGACTGAAAGGGGGAGAGCTTTACGAGGATCGTTCAGATCATCCTTAATCTCCTTAATCGCCGCGCGCCTTTCGAAGGCCTGAAAGGGAAAGAAATCTGAATTCTTCGAAATTCTTCGTGACTCTCCGGAATTTTCCGGAATTCGTCGGAATTCATATCTGAGGTTCTCCCTGGCGTTTCTGGAAAAATTCTCGGCCCGAAGGCGTCCGGGATCCGACGGTTTCCCCGCCTTTGCTATTGTTTTTATTGGAACTTCTTCGCTCCCTCCGTTATGGCAGGTGGGGCACGAAAAGCGACAGAAAGGGGAAAGGAAAAACAGAAGGGGGAAAGGAATTTTCTCATTCGACGAGGGGAAATTATGCAACAGAAACAGTGGCTCAAATGGGTGCGAGGGATTAAGGAAATGCGCCGAATAGTTTTTTAAATAATTTTTAAGATAACAATACAAAGCGTATAGTAATATAAATATTTAATGTAACATTACGTAATGCAGAATAATTTTTATTTATAACGGGAATCATTAATTAATTATGCTAAATGTATTATATTACATTATTCGATAAACGTTTATAACTTCTCATTTGTGAGGTAGCAATTCAAATTTTGCGTTAAAATTATCACTAAATATCAAATGCAATGAGCCCGAAGGAAATGTTTGAAGGTTTATTGCATAATTTCAAATACAGGAAATGAGATTTCTTAACTCGCGCAGTGAAAATTATACTATTAAAAATATTTGATTCATTTCGCCGTGTTTCACCAAGTTATCAACAACTTACCATTAAAATAAGTTCATGAGAAAGGGAAGTAAAGTCTGGCAATAATGGCAATTTAGGGCAATTTAAACTCGGTTTTGACGTGATGCAAATTCATTTTCCCGAGGACTTCCCAAGTGTAGAATGTACCCACTTATTTCATCCTTGCCCTCCTTTAACACACCCTCCTTCATCCGTGCCCTCTTTCATCCGCGCCCACCTTCATCCGTGCCCCTCCACCTGTGCTCCTTCTTACGGCCCCATTCCCCGATCCAATAAGAGCAGGGAAGCGTGATTTGAAGGAATTCCCTTCGGTTGAATGCAAGGGAGAAAGGGAAAGAGATACACGATTGACGCAATTGTCTGGAGCTGACAGCCCTTAGATGATACGGGGAATCCTCTGGCCCGGTGACCCAGGTAATCAGAGTTCTTTCAGCCCGCTAACTGTTCTTTTCAGTCCGCGATTCGATTCTTGCCTGCACGTCTCCTCTGCCCGGTCGCGTGGGTCGTGCCATTTGGGGTTGAGTGTGGGTCGTGTGATTGTGGGTCGGGTGTGGGTCGTGCGATTGTGGGTAATCCTCTCACCGGTATGATCTCAACGACAGGCCTTCGGCCGCACGGCGTCTCTGGGACAAGAAATACAGTTTCAGCGGGAGGAATCAGGAAGTAACTGCAAAACTGAACCCTTTTGGTGCTCGAGTATTGCCATTTTACCCTGCCTCTGCATCGAGACTCTGAATATGAGGAAATTGCACGTCACACATCATGTGCGGAAGGTCGTTATGTGATGATATAAAAATCTGTGGACTCGGAGAGGTGGACTTAGGGGAGGCTGACAGAAGCGGCGAGCCTCTATCAGTCGGTAGGGATGTCAATCGGTAGGGATGGCGATCGGGAAAGCGAACCTGTCCGTCGCGATTCTCCGCGGTCACCCCTCTGCATCCACATCCAGAAATAAAGCCACAGCGGGACCGAACACCCTGAAACCCTTGGAGACCCGGGGGACGCAGGACGTCGCTTGGGGGTCCCGTGGGACGGGGGGGCCCGGGAGTCGATCCCGGCGGGGGCTGACGTGGCAACGACGGCGACCCGTGGGGACGACGTCGCCAACTTCGCAATTACGAACTTCACGATTTCTGCATTTACACTAATTAATGCATTGCAGCGTTTTGAATTAATTATCATTATTATTACTCCTTCGCGTGCAGATCGACAAAAAAGAGTCGGAGGCGTCGCGGCAGATCACCCCGAGACCCCGACCTCTCTAAACTTTCCCATTTCACGGGTTTTGAACCCGCGTCAACCTTGTCATTCCAGGCGCGACGGAACGGGGAAATTAAATGCAAATCCCGCGGAACGGGGGGAAATCCTTCCATGATGCAGGGGAGCCGACGCCCTTCATCCGAAGTTGGGAGGTGTTCTTCATCCCACGTTGGGAGGTGCCCTTCATCCCAAGTTGGGAGGAAGCTGGGAAGAGAATGCGTCACTTCGAATCAGGACTCGTGCAGACGTTAATTTCAACAGCAAATTTCTGTTTTTAAATTTCACAACGAACGATTGAGACCTCGAACCAAGTCCTGAAGCAAAAGGTTTCCTTCCG